GAGAGAGAGAGAGAGAGAGAGAGAGAGAGAGAGAGAGCGAAAACAACACAAATCAAACAAAAGATATCTTTCTCTTTGTTCTATCCTCCGTCACCGGCGTCCATGCCGGCCAGAAGCTATCGAAAAGAGCCTAGCATAGAGTGGACTAGTACTTCAATCTTTATCGGAGTCCTCCGGGCTCGGCTCCTGATTGAGATCAGGATTCATGGCACGCCGAGATGGCAACTGCTGTTGTTCGAGCTGGTGTTGATGGTGTCCTCTCTGTTGTCGCAGATGCGGCGACGGCCGCGACGTCAGACCGGTCTGGAGAGCGTCCACCCTCGCGCCCACCTCGGTGGCCTTCTTCCGGATCGAGGCGGCCGACATGGAGGCCACACCGCTGACGCCGAAGCCTTCTCCGTCCACGTCTTCCGCTAGGATCTCGTCCGGGAAGTTGAGCCGGGCGGAGCGGCCCCGGAGGTAATAGACGGCGGTGTCGTAGGCTCTTGCAGCGGCCACCGCGGTCGAGTAGGACCCCAGCCAGATCCGGGACCGCTTGTTGGGCTCCCGTATCTCCGCCACCCACCTCCCCCACTTCCTCATCCTGACTCCCCTGTAGGGCCTCTCCCTGCTGCCACCACCGCCGCTTGCCGCAGCCCTCTGCCCAACCGCTGGCGGCGGGGACTTCCTCGTATCCTCGCTGGTGGAGGTGGAGCAGCACTGCCCTTCCATTTCCTCTCTCTCTCTCTCCCATAAATCATCCCTCTTCTACTGTTTATATTAGCGATGACTGTAAGAATAATATGATGTGTCTTACACATTCATCCCTCTTTAAGTTTGGAAATAGCATATCTGCCCCTTCAAATATTCTTTTCTGGCCTTTTCTTAGTCTCCTCCATTTTTCATAATTTCCTAACCATTTTTTTTGTTTAATATCTAAAACATCCTTAACTACATATTTAATTTTTTTTCTTTTTGTCATGAATCGATCCCATTATAGTACTTATATACTATATTATAATATATTTTAGTAATATTATAAAAATATTATTGATTTTTTTTAAAATAAAATATGTTTTCAAAGAAAAACCTAATATATATATATAAACAAAAAAGTGTCCAACATATGAGGCTCGTGTCTTACCTTTTATTTTTTTTAAATAATATATATTATAATATAATCCTCAAAATAATATATTATAATATTAATAATGATAATTATCTTAATATGTAAATATTATATATATATAGATATAGTTTTACCTGATATAAACAGATCCTAAGGGCGGCTCTTTGGTGGCGGAAAGAGACGCTAATAATTCCACAACAGCAACAAAATCTAATGACGTAAAACGTCACCAACTTCGATATCTTTCACGTAGTCGGCACTCGAGCCTCGAACAAACCACCGCTACCGCTGCCTCCTCGGGTGGCCACCTGATCATTGCACGCTAATCCAACCTGTAAATCCAATTAATTACTCCCGATTAACTCGGGTTTAGGATTAGGGTTTGCAATCCTTCCTTGTCGATCGAGATCGAGAGACACCACCCTGGTTTCTCTGCTCCATCGCGTTCTTCACCTACTCACGTCGAGCGCTTATAAATGCCATCCCACCGTTCACTCTCTCACCGACATGTTACATGACGTGATTCGGAGTGGTGGATGTAGACGTTTCAGCCTCTCCTACGGAACTCCTCCTCCTGTTTCTCTCTCTCTCTCTCTCTCTCACACAGCATCGGCACAAACATGGAGGTGGAGAGAGACTTCCTACTTGAATTTTCCTGAGTCAGCGGCTGAGATTAAGTGACGGTAAGGAACGGATGGTGGAGATGGATTGAAGGAAGGTCGGTGGCCGGGAGGAAGACGACGCTTCAGAAGGTTTCGTAGAAAAGAGGATTGAATGGAGTTTGGAGAGAAAGAGAGAGAAGAAAAGGACAGGATTTTAATTGATTGAGAGAGAGACGGTAGAGATAGCTACTGTGCGTTCGTTATCCTAATAGGGATCTAAGTAATGGTGGGTGTAAGCAACGAGGAGGACAATGCCATAAACTACTGAGAACGAAGGCAGGACAGTGATATGGATATGCATATAGAATTGGCCTCCTCGATGTCGGCATGCGGACTTCTCTTTGTGGGATGTAAATGAACATGCACTCATCTGAAGCATAAAACTTGATCTATTTATCTTGGATTTTATATTGAAAAGAGACATCATATGATGATGCGTATCCTAACCCTTATAAATAGATGGAGATTCTTTTTATATATTACTATTGAGAGGAGACTTCATGAGATGGTTTAGGAAAATGAGATGTATATGACAATAAATGTGAGCCCTTTTATGTGTATTCTGACCCTCACAAGAAACTATAATTATACGAAGAGTTGTATCTTTGTATCTCCTTCGTCTGAGTCTCATCGATCTCTCTCTCTCTCTCTCTTTTGCCAACCTATCCGAGACAGAAGCGATGATTTAGGTTGATCTGCTCACTGCAACTTGACGGCCATTTATCTGTTGACTTCTTCCATGCATGATGTCATGCTAAGACGTGTTTTTCTATCACTGGCATTCCATTGAAGCGTATCCAACGTTCTCTTAGGGGATAAGTCCGATCAGTAGTTACAGAAGTCATCTTTGATTTCTCTTTGTTTAACATAAAGATTCTAACCATGTTTTTCGTACGGATAGATTTTACAGTTATTGTGGGTTGGTTACTGGCTTGTTGGTGTTGGATCATCGTCTTGGTCCTCATAATTATGAGTAATTTAGGAAGAAAGAAGAGAGTTATACCTTAAGATACTGATTAATTAACGATAATAATATTGGGAAAGTTATTAATTGCTTGGCAACCAGCTGGGACGAAATCTAACAAAGATGTTGTTCTAAAGGAGGAGGAGGAGGATTCAAGACAAAGGGAGGTGATCCCAAGAGAGTGCTATTACAACTCATCTCCTTTTGGGTACAGGGATAAAGAAATAAGAACACATGAGCAGCTGGTGGAGAGCTGGCTTTAATTTGTTGTGGCCGGTGGATACTTTTTACTCCAAATTGGTCGGTGAGAGACAGAGAGAGAGAGACAGAGAGAGAGAGAGAGGAGGACAATACAATGCAGCAGC